TTTTAACTTCTCTCTGTTTTCACAATGGCATTATTTTTATCCCATTGGGAAGGCACAAAAATTTAATGTGAATAAATGCAAAAACACCCATTAAATTGGAATTTTGGTTTCTTTAATAGAGAACCATTTTTCTGAATACTTCCAGTTAATGCTTTGCAGCTAATGTGGAGACAGAAGTGTTAATTCAATGAGCAGGAGATAACTGCCCTGAGAGAACAATGTACAGAGGTGAATAGGAAGCTAACAGCAGCATGGTCTTGCAGCTCTGCAATTCCTATGCCTTTCCATCTCCAGACCCCTAGTTCTTCAAGGCTGCCCCTCAGCCTTACCCATGGCACAAGCATTCCCCTCCTTCCAGCCAGTGGCCTCTTCTCCTTAACCCACATCTCTAGTATTTACTGAAAATGTATTTGCTCAGAGGGGAGGATTAATCCTTTCTCACAGAGAGCTTCCTTCCCTTTTTAGATGTAGCTTTTTCCTGAAATCATATATCTTATTAAAGAGAAGTAAAAGAATGCTAGAAGTAGTCTCAGGTGAATCACAGAATCATAGAATTGTAGGGGTTGGAGAATAGTAGGGGACCTTGAGATCATCAAATTCAACCTGCTAAAGCAGGTTCTGCAGAGTAAGTTGCAGAGAAAAGCATCCAGGTGTGTCTTGAATATCTTCAGGGAAGGAGTCTCTACAACCTCTCTGGGCATCCTGTACCAGTGCTCTGTCACCCTCACAGTGAAGTTTTTCCTCATACTTGTGTGGAATTTCCTGTGTTTCAATTTGTGCCCATTGGTCCTTGTTCTGGCACTGGGCTCCATTGAAAAGAGCCTGGCTCCATCCACCTGACTAATGCTCTTTAGGTATTTATAAGCATTGATAAAATCTTCCCTCAGTCATCTCTTCTCCAGGCTGAACAGCTCCAGGTCTCTCAGCTATTCCTTACAAGAGAGACTCCAGGCCCTTTATGGCCCTTTGTGGCCCTCCCCTGGACTCTCTTCAGAAGTTCGCTGACTTTTTAAAATTGAGGAGTCCAGAACTGGACACAGTGCTCCAGATGTGGCCTGACCAGGGCAGAGGAGAGAGGGAGGATCACTTCCCTTGACATGCTGGCCGTGCTCTTTTTAATGCACCTCAGTGAAGTTGTGGGGTCCTTGGCTGCTGTCTTTCCACTGTGTGGATATTATCTGCTCCCAGTCATCAGGATCCTTTGTACTGCTGGTGGTTCTCAGACACAGCTTCTGCTTTTTACTGTAAGAAATTCTGTATAAGAAGTGATGAGAGGTACATTTTTGCTGGTAATGTTGTTCAGCTGGCCATCTGTCTGATTACATGTGACTGTGATTCTGTTTTGCTGTGATTAGTGATTAAAGTGATTGCAGATGTGACTTGAGCAGTATAAGCATATCACTTTCAGTGCATGTAGAAGCAAATTCAGAGCTTACACTATTCTCTTTCATCCCAGCACCGGTCCAGACATGAAGAATTCTAGTTTCAATGTCCAATAATCATTGCCTCCAACTATAAGCATCTACTAAATCGCACATTATCTATGTAGGGACAGACATTGTTTCTCATAGTTTGTGTAGAGGACTTTTATCTTGAGTTTGAAAAATAGGGCAGTTCTTCAAATTGGAGAAAAAAGGAAGAAGAACTTATTCTGTGTCATGCTTTCTAAAACTTTGAAACTTCCTCATCCTACTCCTCTTGTCTGGTAAGAGGTTGTGAAAAAACAGCCTGGTTTTTTTTTGTTGTTGTTGTTGTTTTTGGTTTGTTTTTGGTTTTGTTTTTCCCTAGAAGTTTGAATATTGATATTAATATAAATTGTAAAATGAAAGTATCTAATTCTGGTGTTTGCACTGGGCAAATAGGTAGATATTATATTAAAGAATAAAAACAGTATACACATATATAAACCTGAAGGCAAATTAATCTGACTTGGTTCTAGTTGGGTTTCAAAAAGCATATTTGACAGTTTGTCTTGCAGAATTTAAGAAAGTTATGAGAGAAAGTCCTTAGGAAGTTTTAAGTTTGCTGAAAATTGGAAAAAGTAGTTCATCTGTACAATGAACAACTGCTTATATCTTTTAAGTGACCTGGAGGGGGGCGAAAATCAAAACTGTGGTATTTGCTAATTGTATGAATTTGTTCTGCATGGTTAAAAACAAACTGCTGATAAAAGAACTATATATATTTCACTCAACCAGAAAGCAAAATGACAGGTGCAGGCCAAATGGTGTTCAGGGTGAAATTCAGTCCTCTCTTTGTACATGAACAGATGTATTTCTCCAATTTATAGGAGGGAGAGGAGGTTCTTTTATTATCTATATACCCAGCGTGAGATTAAGAAGCAACGGTTCAAATGTTGGTCCGACCAGTTTATTACAAATCTTAATCAGGGAAATGGGGAAGGGGAGGATGGACACTATTATGATTAGAGTAATGGGGAAGGGAAGGAGGGTGATAGACAAGATAGAAGAGAAGGAGCAAGAGGTCTTTATAGGCAGCAAGAGGGACATAGTCACCACCATGGATCCAGCGAGGTTCGTAGTTCCGTCTTTGATCTTCAGTAGTGGTGGGTCGTCGGGCATTGTTGTTGTATTGACGACGACCATGGAGATGATGGCCCTTTTTCAATGCTTCAAAGTGGTTGAATCAGCTGTCTTTGGAGTGACAGCTCAAATCCAAAGTGGTCGAGTCAGCTCTCCTTTGAGTGACTGCTCAAACCCAAGGTGGTTGAGTCAGTTCTTGTCGCAGTGGCAGCTTCTGGCTCTGGGATCTCAGCAGGAACCTCCTTTGTTCTTATCTTTCTGGCCTTGCCAGCAGATAAGAGGAAGCAGGGAGGCACCAACTTGTATCTTGCCTTCGTAGGATACAATGGTATCATCCCCCAGCCTTCCATCCTAAGCTGAAGCGGTTTAGTCACAGTCCAGATCTTCCGCTAGTAAACACTCTTGAGCACTCTCATCTGCTCTTCTACAGAGCAAGCAGCTCTGTATGGAGGAAGGGAGGAAGGGGCTTTCAAATGTTCCCAAAGCGATATCCATTGTCACACAGTTAGCACACCCATCACTTGCCTCCTTGACAAGTCACTCAGAGTCTTATCACAGAAAACCCTCAGGAAGCAAGCTTTGAGCCAAAAAACAAAGAAGGGTTCTCACAACAGATAAACTCTGAGCTGAAAACATTGCTTAGAACTTGCGCTAAATTAAACCTTGCTAAAATATCAGCTCTGTGTTTCAAGCATGATAAAAATAGAAAAAAAGCCATTCAAATTCTAGAAAGTGTTACAACAAAATAGAAAATAAAGCATTATGGCACTGTAGAAAACTGACCTGGCTGCACCTCCAGTGTAAGCCTGGTAAACCCCAGCTTCATCCCCTCATGTCAAAACTGGTACTTGAATCCTGGAGAATGGCAGAGGTAGCAATATGGGTTAAAAAGGTATACAGCCCAGCAGACAAGGAACTCGCTAAACTTCCTGGTATAAGGGGTCAATATACCATTGTTTTCTACTTGGTACAAAGGCACAGATTCTTCCTGTTTCCTAGACCATCTGAAGGGCTATGTGCCAGTGGGGGTTAGCAGGCTTAACAACATCGCTACATTTTGTTTCAATCCCTCCTTTTCTTTTGAAGATTGTAGCTATCACGCTGTGACCTTTACTGTATCCATTTATTATAACTCCAACAACAATCAGAACAATTGCAGCCCTGTATCATTACAATTGCAATTATACATACAGCAATTAAAACAAAACAAAACAAAACAAAACAAAAAAAAACCACAGTTATCAATAAACTGTTTCTTCAACCAAGACCAATCAGGTAACCATGAGGTCAGCTTATCAGATTTCCTCAAAACCCCATGCAGTGTCATCAAGGGATATTTCATGGTCTAGCTTTTGCTAGCTTTTTACATGTTGTGCAAGTAAATGGTGCACAAATGGATAAATGGAAAGAAACCAAACAATCTTTTCAGCAATCCAAGTCCGTACTTATAAAAACTAGTTATTCCTTAGTTTTATGTTCTCTTTCAGGAGCCAACCACGATGGGAGCTTTAGTGGCTAGACGAAAAGAAACACCACCATGGATCAAGAGAATCCAACCAGAAAAAAAAAAAAAGAATAAATAAAATGCAATTTTCAGAGAAAGAAGTCTCTATTTCCTTTTGAAGAAGGATATGTTTTTTGTATGTTAAGGGAAAGTAATATATGTGATAGCTTACTTAGATGGCCAAGTATGTCACTAATCTGTGAAAAGCAAATGCCATACTAGCACCTTTAGCTAAGTCTTAAAGAAGTTACCTGTTCATCATGGAGCTCACCAGAATCTGTCATCATTTTACATACTCCATTTTATACTGTTACTGTTTTCCTTCTTTTAAACATAACATGAGAATGGATATTGTCTATTTGCAGTCACAGAAATATTGTAGCAAGAGTAACAACCCAAAATGCCCTGTGCTACTTCATCACTTAGCTTTTGAGGACCATCTCTCAAACCATAAAACAGAAGACTTTGGAAGGTTACAGCCACCGCCGCATCACACCTGGTGAATTTTCTTGAAATAGTCTCTATGAAAATCTAGTTGGGCTGTGAGTGCACACCCTGGGGTTTGTGGTTAACCTACGTGCCATGATAATGCCCCTAAGAAACAGTGCTGTGTAGATAACAGCATTCAGATTCTATTCAGAATGAATTCATCACACTGGCACAAAAATAGCTTAGAAGGTTCCCAGTTCATGTGAGAGCAGAAAAATTTGAACCAAAAATCCTGGGTAAATGGTTGTGGCAGAAAGATGACAGTGAACACAACTGAAAGTGGTTTTCTCACGTTTTGTTAATACTGATGCCTCATACAAAAGCTTCCCTGAGAAGAATATGAAACTTAAGACACTGCTAGTTATAAAGGACAAATATAAGCTATTATCTTGGAGAAAAGGAAGTTTCAGTGCTGTTCTGGTGCTGATCTCCACTGTGGTGAGTTTGCACTTGACTGTTACACAGTGCAGTGAGTTCATGCACTTCTATGCTTCCTGTAAGGAACTGCTTCAAAATTGCTAACAGAAAGTGAAAGCTCTGTGAAAGTCTTTAAAAGCTGTGGGCTTTGTGGAACTACTTTTCTTCTTTTCTTTTACTGGCTGCGCTGCCCTCGAAATACAGTGAGGCCACTGGAGCCTTCAGCAGAAAATGGAAAAACTGCGCACAGCAATGAATTTTTGTATCCGCTACCAAAAGACTCTGGGTTACAGCATCGTGTCCCTGCTGACAATTGCCAGCGAGCAAATCTTTTCCTTGGTGGCCTTCAGGTGTCCCTGCAACTCTTGGAATATTCTGTATGGCTGTGTCTTCCTTCTAGTGCCAGCCATCCTTCTCTTTCTGCTTGGCTACCTGGTGAATGCCAGGACTTGGCTCCTGCTTACAGGCAGCTGCCCTCAGGAGAAGAAACACTGCTGTGGCTCTTGGGGAAAAGGTTGCTTCTACCTGAAAGTGCTGGCACCAGTGACAGCCAGCATCTTGGTGGCCCCCCTCACCTGGATTTCAGTGGCCCTGCTCAGTGCAAGCTTCTACGAGTGTGCAGCCAGCGGGAGCAGCTTCATCAGGAAACAGATGTGCAGGGATATGGACAAGCCTGAAGCATGCTGGGAGCTGCTGGAGAAAATACCCTGTGATGAGAATGTTGTCAGACTACTGAATATGCTGAATAAGAATTTAACTTCTAAAGGTGGACTTGTCAGCTTTCGAGCACAGTCTCAGGTAAGACCTCTATGCTCTGCTCTTCCTCCAAGGATTCCTGCCTTGCCTGCTTCACACACACTGGTACCTGCTAGCAAAAGCACATGGTTAGCAAAAAATTCTCAGGTCAAAAAACTAACATAGAAAGGCAAAAAGTGGCTAGTTTGTGTTAGCTTCTCTTTTTGGTGTTTGCATAGTAATCTCTTGGCACTGGCAATGGCAAAGCATTTCTCAGTGCTGGGCAGTAGACCAGCCTAGATATCAGCACTTCCACTGCAGCTTTTCTTCTTGTTCAGATTATGCCTGGCGCAAGCTTTTGTCTGTTACCCTTCCAAAGATCTGAGACTTATGTAAGTATGCATTAGCTGAGAGGAAGCTGAAGTCATTAGCATAGGGGAAGCCAACACTTCACTGCAAAAGGGTGAGCCAACAAGCGAAACAAAGAAGGACAACTTGTTTGACCATGAACCTAAAAGCTTGACTCTATTATTAATTTCACACTTATAGTGTAGGTGAACAGTTAGAATATATGTGCCTCTTGTTACAGTTTCCTTCTTGTGCTGAAGGCAAACTGCGTAATAAAAAAATAGCTCTTCTGAGTAGGTTTTTTCCATTTGAAGTGAAATGAAACCAAAGTGATTTGGCAGCACTCCAGTTTTGTTTCTGTGCTTGTTCCCCTTGACTCCAGAAGAAAGTTAATTTATTATCAGTTCTTCAGGAAAACATTAATACTGATTAATGTAGTTAAGTTTGCAGGAGATAATAATTATGCACACAAAGTGTTTAAATTTGTTAGATATTCAGCATGTGGCTTCTTCAAGAAAAAGCTGAAAAAGTGCAGATTCTATAACATTGAATTCTGACAGAGTAAGAAAGGAGCAAAATTGAGGAAGATTGACTGTTATTGATTTTTCAGTGAAATTGAAAAGAAACAGACTGGTCAAACACAAATGGAAGACATATGAGATCATATACTTCATTTCTTGTATCTGACCTACTTTCAGCAAAATTAGGAGCCAAAAAGTGGTGTGGATGACAACATTCTATACAAAATAGGAAAGATTTCTTATTTGATAGCCAAATCCTTGTTCTGCCCACAAAGTATTGCTTCCACGTCTGATTCAGTGTTTTGTTCTATACTCTTGCACAGAGCCATGTGAAAACACTAGTAACACATTTATTTATTTTTCAAGATTCTAGGATGGTTGCTGATAGTTGCTGTCATTACTGTGGCACTCATTTCAACATGTATCAGCCGATGTTGCTCCCCAGTTAGCTATTTTCAGCTAAAGTTCTGGAAAATTTATTTGGAAAAGGAACGAGAGCACTTCGAAACCAAGGCCAAAGAACATGCAGCTCAGTTGGCCGAAAGAAACATAAATTGCTTTTTTGAAGCCACCAACCCACCGCCATTTCAGACTCCCAGCAATGAAGACTGGAAGATGATTTCACTCCCATATGCATTCAGTAAGAATGATCAGTATTACAGCATGATACACAAATACATTAATGCAAACAGAGGCAAAATCAGTACAATCAATGAAAGAGATCAAATTTCCTGTGTTTTAGGATTTGTAGATGAAGCACACATAAATGAGCAAGGATTTTAGTAAAAAAAAAAAAAAAGTTTGTAACACTGGTAATCTTTTAACCTTACTGATCTAAAAGAAGCTTTATTCTGTGCTCTTACTGAAATCAATGAGAATTGTATGTTAGAGGCTGATACTGTAAACCCCAGGAGACTTTTTAAAAATAAACTTCATAATTTTGCTTAAGTACATTTAAATAAGTGTGTGGTTCACAATGGGATTATTTCTTTTTTGTGTCAATGATCATTAAGAAAAAGTCATATGTGAAACAGTAAGCATCCACAGCAAAGATGTCAGCCAGTACTATGTGATTACATAAAATATGTAATAACATTTAACTGGCTGGTATCATTTTAACTGAATAAACATTTAACTGATTGGTATCATTTCACCTTCATGTACTCGAAAGGTATCCCAAACCTTGCAACAACTGTGTTTCCCAGGGTAGTTTGGAGTTGGGTCATGACAGTAACAAGTGTTCAATTTGTTATTTGTACCTCCAGGAAGCACAATTATGCTTAAAATGTTTCAGTTCACCTCTCCTATTAAAGAACTCAATTGTTCTCTGACATCTAGGAGGCAATAAATCTGCTCTGGAGTATTGTAAATTGGAAGGTAACAATGGCCCTGAAATTAGCAGCAAGATGTTTCTTGACTTGGTGGAGCCAGGCTTTGCCATAGAGACACAGTAAAATTGTTCAGGGTAGACTGAAAGCATCTGGAGAAAGGTTATGCCTTTTTTCTACCCCTGATGAGAAAGTCCAGTGAAAATGCTGTCTGGAATTGTGTTCATTCTCCCAGTTTTACCAGTTGGGCTTTTGCCATTTTCTACGCCCAAACACATCTGTAGGATGATGCCACTGCCCTCTTTTGTGCACAAAATTGCATCATCATTTTGTTGATCACTTCCCTCCTCTTCAGCAGCAACTTTCAGAACTTCCCCACATCTAAAAGAGATATCTAAAAGCTGTTGCCATGAGATTGTACCTGTCTGTCAATCAAAGGAAAATCTGACACTGACATCTCTGAGCTCACTTGAGCACTTGACACTCGCACAAGGCACTACAGCTCAGCTAGAACACTTCTAAACAACCCTCACTACCAATGCAGCCTGGAGGATTAAAGGATTGAGCACAGTCCTGCCAAAAAGACCTGAGAGTACTGGTGGATGGCAAGCTGGACATGAACCAGGAATGTGCCCTCACAGCCCAGAAAGCCAATTGTATCCCAGGCTGCATTTGTGGCCAGCAGGTCCTGCTCCTCTACTCTGTGCTGGTGAGGCCCCACCTGGAGTACTGCATCCAAATGTGGAGTCCTCAGTATAGGAGAGATACAGACCTGTTGGAGCATACACAGAGGAGAGCCACAAAAATGGTCCAAGGGATGGAACACCTTTCCTATGAGGACAGGCTGAGAGAGTTGGGGCTGTTTAGCCTGGAGAAGAGAAGGCTGTGAGGTGACCTGATGGTGGCCTTTCAGTATCTAAAGAGGAGATACAGGAAAGAAGGGGACAGACTCTTTAGCAGAGTCTGTGGTGACAGAACAAGGGGAAATGGCTTCAAGCATAAAGAGGGTAGATTTAGGTTGGATATAAGGAAAAGATCTTTTACTGTGAGGGCGGTGAGGCACTGGAACAGGTTACCCAGAGATGTGGTTGATGTCCCATCCCTGGTGACTTTCAAGAAGAGGCTAGATCAGGCCCTGGGCAACCTGATCTAGCTGTGGTGTCCTTGTTCATTGCTGGGGACTTGTGACCTTTAAAGGTTCTTTCCAACTCTAAGGATTCTATGATTCTATGGTTCTATGATTCAGTGAAAGGCAGAAGGATGTCCAGTGTAAAGGACAGTGAATGAGTGGCAAACCATTGCATACCAAAGCAGACACCTCACAGTGAGAAACTGCATATTGTAGGATTTATTATTCTTAACTACAATCAGACAGGGAAACAAAGCATATCTTACCAATCATGCTTTTAAACTTCACTTCCCCCTCCAAAAAATAAAAGGAAAAATAAAGTCATGTTCACCTGAAAACACTGAAAACATTAGGTGTCTGAATGAATATTTTGCACCCAGCATGCACTGAATACTGAAATGAAGCATCCATTTTGTTCAAGAGTGTGGTTATGTGAAAAGCAAGAGCAAAGACATTTTGATCTTTTGTACTCATACCTGTGCCATGAGGATTAAGATTTTTACTCTGACCTCAGCTCTGCTTTCTAGATTTCTTCACCCTACCAACATCTGAGTGGTGCAGATGACTCAAGGAAACATTTCTACCCTGCATTTCATCTTCAGAAACAAAAGGTCTAGAACATCACATAACAAAGGTTTATCTCAATATTTCTTCCATTTATTTCTTTTTTGCTTTCTTGTCTTCAGCCTTCCTTAAAAACGTAATTCCTATTTCTGTCACAGCATCACCCTTCAGTTTGTCTTGCAGAAAGGTCACTTCTGCTGCCAAGTGAACCTAGGAAGAAGCAAAGAAGCACTCAGTTCGTCTCCTTCCTCTGGTTAACAGTATTCTTATCTCTCTCTTACCACAAGGGGACCCCCTTTTACAAGTTTTGTAAAAAACAGATTTCCACATTTTAAAAAATATATTTCCAAACCAAATTAATAGAAAGAAAGCCTACATACTAGAAATAGCATATGTTAATCATCAGTCTAGTGCTTTGCTTTGCTCCGAGAACTGAAGATGTGTACTTGATTTTGTGATCACAAAATTTCCTGATCATATACTTAAGTTATTAACACTCTTGTTAATTGGTCAGATATCATATATATATCACACATTATGATTCTGAGACTGATTTATAGAAATAATACTTACACAACTTTTACTTTCTTGAAACGTAAGACATATGACAAATCAGATACTCATTAAAAAAACAATGCAGCCCAAATGTTATCTTCCAGAAAATGAGACAGAAGCTCTACAGCTCAGTGACATTCAGATTATGGCCTTTGTGTGTTCTTTTGTAAAAGCCTTAAATGATTTGGAATGTCATCCAGTATAGTTCTGATTATTTGGTTTTTAAGTTCTCTGCATCCACATTCTCTCTTTCGCATGATGCTGCAGTTGTATTGCTGTGACATGAGAAAATTTTATGGATCCTCGTACATCAAGGATGGAAAGAATCAGGGATGCTTTTAACAATAAAATCTATGCAGAAAAAATGAAATAGGATTAAGGAGCAGATGACAAGCCAAGAACAGGACCTTGGCTCCCCCTGTTCTGTCAGCTGGGTCCTTTTCCCACAAGCCCTCAAAGGAGCCCAGCTGAGACTGTGCTTAGCGAGCCAGCCTGTGTGCTTCTTTATCTCAGGATCAGCCTGACCCTTTCAATTACAGTTTAGACATTAAATCTGAAAGAAATTTAATACTAGTAAGCTTCCTTGAGCAAGATGTGTAGCATTCCTGCACCTCTGCACATGAACAAAAAATGGAGAAAATGGATGTGTGCTTCCTTACCATTTCCAAGGCACCTCGAATCACTCCACAGAGGAGGTTGCAATAGCAAAGGGATGCTCGTTCCACTGGCAGCTCCTCCACAAAGTCCACTAATGGGTTTTTGTCCAGGATTAAGGAGAATTCATTTCCTGCAGCACTACTGCAGTTCACACTGGGGGTGACTCCCAAGTACATTTTGAAAGCCACCTGCAAAATAAAGATAGTCAGCCACTTGAATCTGATGGGCACAAACCAGAGCAGAAACTTTAGTATGCAACATCCTACATACTAGTTTTGCTCCAGGAAAGTAGGGGTAAGGAACAAGTAGTCTTGAGATCATACTAGATCTGTCTCTTCTGTGTTCCATTGTATTCACAAATTTGGAGCTATGTGATACTCCAGAGAAGTACACTGTAAGGCTGCTTGTTCTCTCTTTGATGTTCCTGCATTTACAGCCCCATAAAAAAACAGTTGTATTGTAATCCCTCATGCTTTCACTCAGTGTCGTTATGCTCTTCTGGGGCCATTAGCTCTATACTGGCCTCTGTGTCGCCCTACATTGCCAGCAACTTTGATAATCACTGCTCAGGAACTCCTGCAACTTGTGAGTGCATTTACTCAGTTCTCCATGTGCAGCCAAAACAAACAAACAAATAAATAAATAAACAAAGCTACAACTGAAACAAAAGAAGAAAGAGTAAAACTAGTGGGATGTATTTGATAACAGGGCGGGGTTTGCTTCTCTGCCTCTACTGGTTAGTATTACTTTAAATATGCAGCATCTGCTCTGCTGGTGGAGAGGTCCCATATGCATGCATTTTTAGTGAGATCACTGTGCGAACCAGGCGGTGCTGAGGCACCAGGTTCACAGCAGTTGTTCTATCTGTGGAGAGCTCTCCTGCAACACACAGCCACAAGCTGCTCCAGTTGGAGATAAGTGTTGTTGCTTTTTTTACCTCTTTGGTGAGTATCGGACATGGAAGGTTTCCAAACAATCCTGAAATTCTTTATAAACCGGAGAACTGCTATTGGCTACAGCGTTATGGCTCTGCTGACACTGGGAAGTGAACGTGTATTTTCTCTTGTTGCTTTCAGATGCCCCTGCAGCAACGAAAACTTCAAGTATGGTTTGGTTTTTCTTTTCTCCCCAGCTTTTGTTTTACTTGTTTTTGGATATTTCCTGAATAATAAGACCTGGAAGCTCTTCACAGGCTGCTGGGTGAACCCCAGAAAAATATTCCCCAAAGGGAATATCTGCCATTTCTTCATTATCTTTGGACAAATCACATTAAATGCCCTGGTAGCCCCAGTGATGTGGCTTTCCGTGGCTTTGCTCAATGGGACTTTTTATGAATGTGCCATGAGTGGCTTGAGAAATCCTGCCTACTTAGATGCAATTTGCCACAATAAATCTGTGAAGTGCTTTGAGGAGCTGCACAAGGTGTCCTGTGGCAAAAGCACCATGCCCTTTTCAGAGAGTGAGGAACTCAAGCTAACACTGCAGGCACACTCCCAGGTAAGAAAAACAAGTAAGAGGATATTAAAGTTTGTAATACTGCTGTGAATCATCTATGGAAGGTGCTAAAATAAAACCATTGGCTTCACATAAAGTTTTCTTATGATGCAGCCCTGCCAAATTCAGTAATTGATATTATTTTAATTCAGTTTGAATGATGACCTGTCTCAAGGTTGGGGGAGGATTCCACTGTAATAAGTATTAGTAAAGTCAGATAGTTTAAAGCTGTCTCTCTGAAAGAAGAGAGCTCTGAAGAAAAAAACCAGCACTGGTCTGTTTAGGAAGCCAAATCAACAGATGTCACCCTATCTGATGGGTTTTTTACACTGCAAATCCATATAACAATCATCTCCTATTTTTATATTATCATATATACCGTAAGGAAATCTAGATCGTTAGCAGTACGAAAATACCGAAAAATTAGATTTGTGACTCACTGTCTAGATAACTTGTTTCTGTTTGCATTTCTCAAGTTTATGATGCCAGATGAAAGCATCTTTTTGTCCTGCTTGGAAGAAGAAAGAAACACTAAAATAAAACCAGAGAATGCAAGGCTGAGATTACATTCTGCTATACTTGTGCATTACAGTTGTTTCCATTGTCTTGTAATGTAAAGAAACTTAGAGATGAAAAGCCAAAATGAAGGAAAGGAGAAAAAAGTGCTATAGAAAACGATGGAAAGACGATAGTCAGCATATGACAGGAAGCATTCTGTGGAGCCTGTAAGTCTTTGTTAGATGACTGTATTCATCTGGAACTGTTTCCTATCAAGAGCTGTTTTTATTTTGATTTCCTCAGGCAAATAGGACCAGAATGCAGGCAAAGACTACAGTGCAGGAAAAGCAATTTAATTGAGAGTTCTAGAAAGGAAAAATCAAATGGGCCTTAAGACTTGAAGTTGTATGCACCACAGGAAACAATGAAAGACCAATGACTCAGGGTATAACATGGGAACAGATAGGTTCATTCTCCAAATTGCAGAAGAGTGAAGGGCTTCTGAAAAACAATATTTTAAAAACATATAGACATAATTAGTTATCACAAAGTGAGCAGAAAATGCATAAAATAATTCAAAATCATAATAGTCCCTAAAAATAATTGTAAGCCAGTCTTCCCTGTTTCCTCAGGGAAAATTTCCGTGTTTCCATTGGCTAAATACAAAGGAGTAATTATTTTAACATTCTTTCTAGAGTTCCCATAATGCAGATTGCAGCTCTTAATGTCATCTCCATTAAGACAGAGCATGGAAAACCAATTCCAATTCATATGGGTCTCTGAAAATTAAACAAAAGTTATCCCACACTGGAATTTGCTCCTTCATTTGCAAACAAGCATGTTTTGCAAATGTTACACATCACAGTGGAATAGGTGGGTGAAACTGTTGGCAATGGCAGTGGCATTAGGCATGAAAAACCTGCATCCACACCTCTGCTCTCCTTAAAGGAGGTCATTCCACAAAAACAATTGCTCACACATTTTTCCACCCTCATTCCTTAAGCATGGAATTTGTTCTTTCCCTTAGCAATTCTTAACATAATTTAGTAAAATTCAGAAGTAGCTACAAAGAACCTTAGGGTTGCTGAAAAAAAAATTGAGAGATCTCTGAAAATATGGCAATTATTTCTACTGAGTGTGTAAAAAAGTTGTGCTCTGTTTCAGTGCCAAGGCAGACATGCTGATGGACATGAAATTTCCTTTTTCTCTTGCTCTCTCCAGTCACAGAACTGAGCAAGAACATTTTAAAACAGTTTTGAAATAAAAAAATATTTTCCTCTACAAAGGGCTGATTCATCAAAAAAGCTCACAAGAATGGGTTAAATTTCTATCTCCTAGAATCTCCTAGAAAAAGATGTGGAAGGGGCTGGGAAGAATTTATGTCAAGACTTTAATGTTAAGATATATATTCCTGTTAAGTAATTTATGCCAAAACAGGGGATTTTTTTGTTTGTTTGTTTTTAATGAAAAGAAATCTGAAAACAACACATTTAAAAATATTTACAGTTTAAAAGATTGATTGAATTGGGAAAAAAAGTTACTTATCCATTGTGGTTTTTTAGTTAGACATAATTCAGAACTGTAACTTAATCCTAATTCTTGCTGAGTGATTCTATTTAATATTCTCAAGAGACAGAAATCCATTTACCATTCAGTGATCATGACATTTTGTTCTACCTGTGCACTTCTCCCTGCAGCAGAATTCAGTGATCAGCTCCAATACACTACATGCCAGATCTCTATATTTTGCAATAAATCCTCATCAGAATCCCCTTTACATGTCCTGACACTATTCCTTGCTCTCAGGTCCAATCTGTTTACTGCATAACACTATTGAGCTGGTGCATTATTTGATTGATCATTTAGACTTAGATTTTTCTTTACGTGTGGTCTTGTAGCTCAGGTCTGATTTGAGTTCATCTGTTCCTGAATTTGCTGTTGCATTTGCACTGGTCTTTTCTGCTGTTGTTATCTAAGTTCCTTTTGACATAAAATGGGATCACATAAAATTGAGGCAAAGCCTATCTCTTTGTGGGCAGATAGCCTCCAGTATAAGCCAACGTTTTTTTAGAGTTTTACCTCAAGAGCAACTTCCATTCACTCTCTTGAGGAAGAGACATCAAAATGAACAGTACAGAGAAGCCTTGGTCCTGTCTTTTGCTTCCTTTTCATTCAGATGTGGCAGCTCCATTAACACTAACGTCAGTCAACAAATGAAGATTACAAAGAGATGTCTGTGGTAGTTTCCCTAGAAGAGCAGCAGGCCCACTATACAAAGCACAGTCACTCTGACAAACATTCTTAAATAGTGTTTTCACTTTAACCTGAGGTCTGTTTCTTTTGTTTTCCCAGATTTTAGGTTGGTGTGTGATAGTGGCTATGGCTCTTTTCTCCCTGCTAACCACTTGCTGTGCCAGCTGCCAGTCGAAAATCAGCCATCTCCAGCTGATGTTCTGGAAGGTGTATGCTGAGAAGGAGAAGGAGCAACTGGAGCAGACCTTCCAGCTGTACGCCACCAAGCTGAGCGAGCGAAACCTGAAGTGTTTCTTTGAGAAAAGAAAGCCAGAAGTTATGCCCCTGCCAGCTTTTCAGGCATGGGAAGATGCTTCCCAGCTCTACACTTTCAGCAGTAGCAAACAGCATTATAGCACAATTCACAAGCTAGTTGAAGAAGGCCAGAAAGAAGTCAGTGAGGAAAGAGAGACAACATATGACCTCGTAGACAGAAGGGAAATACCATAGATCACATATATATTCAGTCTTTCTCTGCTGTGCTAATATAGCATACTTCTAGCTTCTTTTATCTGTATTTTTTTTCACAGTGGCCCTTTTATTCACAATCACATTCCCTCCCAGTTTCATACTTGCATTTTTTTGTTTTATGAAATGAAATTACTTTTCTACAACAGTGAAAAGACTGCAGTATTCACTAGCACTTCAGGCTCGTGCCATGCTGATATCATTGGTTTTGGATCAAGTAACAACAGCAAAAAGGATTGCCTAATGACTTTTGAGAGTGTTTGGACATATCCTATGTAAAAGGTGTTATAGCACAACTGTCCTTTATAAATCAAAAGGGTATTATAAAGCAATGCAATTTGAAATGGTTGTGTAATATAATAGAAGTGTGTTGCTTTCTGACAGCCCACTGAAAGTAAAAGTTTTGCTACCAGATCATCTCCAGTTCCAGGAGGTT